CTACTTTCTTGAATAACTTGTGATTGCAGTAGATCATTTATCATATCTTCAATAGCATTCTTTTGTTGGATACCTATAGGGCCTTAGATTAACTGGGTCAACCCCTTTTTGTAGAATAATAGGGTGATTGTGACCTCTCAAAGGGGAAAGAGACTTAGGATCTTTAAAAACATCTAAAAATTCTGTCATAACCTTTACAAAACTATTATTCCCCTGTACCTTCAAATAATGACGATCTCTATCACCCTCCTCTAATAAGTACAACATAAACACTGCCCTCTAGCCTCTAGATCTTCTTCAATCTTCTTAAAATCAGCAATATTACATCCTGTTAGTTCTTAAGGTTGCAAGCAGCACTTTTTTCCATTACACCAAAAAGTCATGGATAGATTGTCATAATCCCAATAAGCTTGATAAATAGTCTTGAGCTAAGATAAACCCAGAACCATATCATATGTTTTGACTTCCAAAATTTGAAAGTTTGAGTCAAACTCTTCTCCCTGTATTCTCCACTTAATGCCTTTAAGAACCCCAAAAACCTTCAACTTCCTACCTCCAACAACTTCAACTTCTGCCATTGGATAAGAACTCTTCTTCCAACCCAATTTCTTAGCTAACGCATAGTCAATATAAGCATGTGAGGCCCCATTATCAATGAGAATCTGAATCTGCCTCCTTCCCATATAACTTTGGATTCTCATAGCTGAAGGTCCAACACTTCCCTAAATAGCATGGAGAGAGATTTGAAGACACTCTAACTGTTCTGATATGCCTTCCAATTTTTTTAGGACTTCCAAATCTTGCCCTGTATCATCTTTACCTCTTCCTCACCTTCTAATTCAATAAGCTGTTTTTGCATTTTATATGTCGAGCACATACATGGTCTCTGGAGAAGGGTTGTCGACAATTAAAGCAAAGATTCTAGGCTTGCAATTCTTTTACTTCGTCTAGGCTTAAGTTTCTAAAGCTCTTGGTGTTGTTGCGTGAAGACCCACTCCCTGAAGAAACAGGGCCGACAGAACTGGTTTTAGGTGTAAAAGAATTAAAATTTGAAGATTGGACATTTTTGCCCTTAAATGTTTAGGACCCATAATTTCCAAATGGAGTTTTTGTATTACCCCACTTGTTCAATTCCTTCTGAAAGAAGCTATCTTTTCGTTGTTTCTTGCCCACTGGATTGAGCGACTTTGTGAGTCACCGCCACGCGTCTAGAGTCTTATTTTCTGATGATTAATCTCATGGGCTCTTGCAATAGCTCTTGCGTCGCTCAAGGTTCTCGATTTAAACATACGAACGTGCACCGCGAATTATAAGTCCAGTCTTGCCGTATATGCATGAACCAAGCAATCCTCGGAAAGCTTGACTTTACAGGCTATAGTGTCAAATTCATCATCGAACTCATTTAAAGAATCTGTCTGTCGCAGATTCATTAAGTTCTCCATTGGTGCTTCATATCGAGATCCAAAACAAGTTTTCAAAGCTTCTACATTGTCGATCCAGGTCCACCATGTGTGCTCATCCCCCAAGACCATCGCTTGATGCCAATGAAAGGCTTTTTCATCCAAATAGATGCCGGCTATAGTAATCTTCCAATCTTTTAGCATGTTATCAATTTGAAAGTAGTACTTACATTCAAAATCCACCCTAAGATGTCAGTCTCTTTAAAATTGGGAAAATTCCATCTATGTGAAGCGTGTGAGGCTGATAATTGGACATCTCTATCCGTGCACGATGATGATGGTGACGGCCATTGCTTGCATAGCTTCTATCTGGAGATTCTTGGCAACGGTCTTGTCGGCGGTCTCGAATTATCTAAGCTACTTAGTTGGTAAGTGCTTGTACCTCTACTAGAAGACTTGCCAATTTAGAAAAAGCATCTTCTAAGACACGAATACGATCATCATTCTGATTTTTCATGATTCTTTGTTGTTTCTTTGATCGAGTTTCTGGCATATAGGTTGAGCATCAATTGCTCTGATATCGCTGATGAGTAGGGAATAGAAGAACAAGGAAGATAGGATAGAGGAAGAGAGAGTAGAGGGAAGATTGAGAACTAGAGAGAGATTCTGGAATATTTCACGAGATACTATTATGCCATTTTTATAATTAGGTACATCTCATCTTAGACCTATTTATACCTTTAGACCCCCTAGCCTTCTAACTAATAGCCTCCTAATGACTTTTATTACATCTATTTATTTTAATTATGATTACACATCATAAACCTAGTTAAATTTCTATTTTTTCAAGCAAGACTTGACATTAAAAATAAGAAAATAAACATTGGTTGGGAAGCAAACTAACATATACATATAATTATATATAATCGAAAATCAGCCTACTATAACTTCACAAGAGAATCAAGGAACTAATTTTTTTGTTTTCCTTCAAACATAAAGCGTAGTTAATGATGAAAATAAATTTTTCTTTCATTAAAAGAAAATTCACACGACACATTACAAAGCATTGTCCAAGCTAAGTCTTCCATTCACTTCCTTTAATAAGATGTATCGCCGTATCAAGATTTTTGCCAGCATTTACATGAGCAGCAAAGGTTGGTTCTAAAGATTTAATCTCAAACTTACAAGGTTTATGGATTCAAATGTTGTTGCTGATCTGAAAAATTTTGTTAGCGAACTATTTATAAACATCTTTATAAATATTTTTAAACTCAAATGCATATGCTGATTTTAGCGTGGTTTCAAGACTCAACTTAAATTTTTCATTGTATTAAAAAAAATAATTACATGCCTCAAGAAATAGAAAGAGATAGAGATACATTGAGTGCTATCAATGAAATAAGTTAGTCATAACAGTAAGTCATTCAACCATTTAGGATGTGTTTGAATTAAAAAATTTACAGTTAAAGTTAGAAATTAATTGCAGTTAGGAAACTAAAGTGAAGAAAAAGATTCGTTACAAGTAATTGTAACGTGATTTATATTTAAATATATTTTTTTATAGTTAAATAAACTAAAATTTATTTATATGATTGACTCAAAACCCAATCTAGATGTGTGATGACAAAAAATGACATGAATTTGATAATATCTATTTTTGTGACTCATTTGAATGTTTAGCAAAAATAATAAAATTTAAATTACATTTTTTTAAAAAAATCTATATATAATTAAGTATTATTTAATAAAAATATTAAACAAATTAATAAATAAAATAAAATATTTAAAAAATAAAAAAATAAAAATTTATTGAAAATGATAATTTATAATTAAATGTATTTAATAAATTTTTTTAGATGAAAGTAGAGAATAAAGACAATTACATGTTATAAGGAGCAAAGAATAAAGAGCAAAAAAAAAAAAACAAAGTGAAGAACAAAACTATAACCAGCAAAAAAAAAAAAAAAAAAACCTATGAAAGAAGAAGAAAAGAAATGATACAAGACCTAACGCTAACATTGTAAGCTAGATCCTCCAACTTTTTGTCTACCGAGCTTTAAGGGGCAAAAACTATTTTCAGAATTTCTTAGACTAAACAAGATTTGGATGACATGCACTTAGTTGGCTTAAGAAAAATCAGTTGAATTTATAAAATAAAATAAACTCCAATTAGATTTAGTTCTAAAGCAATCAAAAATGATTTTTCTTCAAGTCAAACTATTATTGACATTCTACAATAAAAAATTATCATATTTTAACACATTTTAACTTTTATCTGAATCAGAGCTTTGACATTTGGCAATAAAAAGCTTAAAATTAGTGAGTGTTTCAACTCCAATCTGCGTTTGTGAACAAATATAACAAACGGATTTTGAATCGGATGCAGAAATTCATATGTACTTTTTAAAAATTATTATTATTTAATACTTTTTTTATTTAAAAATAGAAGATATTTTTTAAAGAGTTAGATATTTAAAAATGTAAGATATTTTTAATTTTTTAAGTGTAATTATTATATATATTTTTTAAAAGTGTTCCTATTAAATATATCACTTTATATTTTTTTATAGTGAAATATTTTATTAAATAAAGACAAAATTAATTTAAAAAATAAATAATTATTTTATTAAAAAATAAAAATTAATTAAAAATATTTTATATTTTTAAAAAGAGAGAATATGTCTTGTTTTTTGATACCAGCATATCTAATATGTCGAACACATTTGTTTCTCATCGTCTCCCTGTCTTCAGCTTTGTTGGTTTTCAAATTATTTGAACGGCGGCTTGTTGCTGAAACGACGTTTTGCGAGAAATGTTGAGAGATGTTGCTCCGTGCTTCACGGGTCACGCCTTCGGTCTTCGCCTCCCGATCAACGAGAGTGGTTGGATGAGTATCACGTGCTCATCCAAGAGATAAAATTTAAAATTTAGACAATTTAAATTTAAAATATTACTTTATATTAACTTATTAAAATAAAAAATTATAAAATAATTTTAATAAATTTTTATTTGATTTATATTTAATTTAAAAGATTTATTAAAATTTTTATAATTGATACATATTAATTATTCATATAAATTTTTCATAGTCCAGCAGTTCAGATAATATCTAAACTGTATAGAATACATTTGAAAAATTTAAAATATTTAATTATAAAAATATTAATATTAAATTAGACGTTCTAAATTAAATTTAGATCTAATTAAAAATAAAAAATTTATTAAAATAATTTTTATAATTTTTTTATTTTAATAAATTAATAAAAAATAATATTTTTAATTTAAATGGTCCAGATCTCATTTCTTAGATCAACATGCAATAATCATTCAAGAGATGAGTACAGAAACTGTTCTCCCCATTCGCCCCTTGTCTCGAGGGAGCACATTCAGTACTCATCAGGGGTGATGAGCAATGTGTGCTTATCAAACTAAATCTGTATGGCCAATTTATAAAAAAAATTAATATTAAATTTAGAGTCATCTCATTAAATATGAATAGTATATATTAATAATAAATATATTTATTTAAAATTTTATAAATTTTTATTTTAAAAAATTAAAAAAGATAGTTAAATCTGGACCGTCCAGATTAAACGGTCCAGATTGGTTCTAGGGTGATGAGCACCGAATGTGCTCCGGCTCGTCTCTTGCTCTGCCTTCGGTCGAAGCTCCTCACTTCCTTCTTCTCGCCGCCGTCGCCGACCGCCTCGTAGGTCGCCGCCGTCTCTGTTGACGGATCTGCTCTGTTGGATTCGTCTGCTCGGCAGGTAAATCGTGGCCCTGTTCCTCGCTCTCTGACCTTTGTTCCCAAGAGATCTCAACAATAGAGACCGGATTCACTTGCTCTGATCTCTGATTCGTGGTTATATGTTCTGATCTGTGATTCAAATGCTCTGTGTCTGGTCGCTTCATCCCCGTTCTCTTACTCTTTGGATGTCTCTCTGTCTTCTTATTATGAAAAAAATATGTCCCCCGTGTTGAGAGAAATGTTGCTCTTCCTGGTCTTCTAAGACTTATTTTTTTCTGTTCTTGCTAGGTGTTCTTGCTATGCGTTCGGTCCTTCTGAACTTCTTTCCAGAAAGGTATTTAATTTCATTTCAGCGCATGTGTCAGTTGTATTTTCGTTCTTCACCTGTTTCTCAACAGTGTTGGAAGAACATGATTTTAGAATTTAATTCCCCGAATAATTTATTCGTCTTGAATCTTGATGCTGAGCTACATCGCACTATCTGAAAATTATGGATAACCAAAGCGATTTAGCTGCCAGAATTCTGTTTCTAAAAGCACGTAAAATGCTAGTAATCTTAATTTCTTATGCCTTGTTGATTTTAGTGAGAATGACAGTGCATCACACCCTCTTTTTCCTATGCTTTTTTGACATTTTCTGTAGTTCCACATCTGATTCTTTCATTTGTGGAACTCTTCTTATGTGCTATTGGTTCAAATTCATACAAGATGATTTAATTTTACCTGTTTAAAAGTTAAGATTTTCTGTTTATCAATGTATTTTATTTGCAGAGGAGAAAAAATAAGCAGTGTTTCTGTGAATGATTATCGTTCTTTTCTTTCTGTAAATCCTCTTATACCTATAAGCTCCTCCTTTTATATTGCTTCCCTATGTCTGGAACTTTATATGTTTGTCTAGTTCTGTTCAAGCATAGTTCTAGTTCGTGGTTTTATTGTTTTGGTTACTTGAACGTTTCTGAATTTATATTTTGGTTTGGCTTTTGAAAGTTCAAAGGTGCCTCAGATGAGGTATTTATTTTAGCTTTTTATAATTAAATATTTTGAACTTTATCGTTTAATTTTATCTTTTTAAAAATCAAGATTTTTGATTTATCAATGTATTTTATATAAGTAATCTACTTTTTTAAAAAATTGTAATTTTAAGTTTGATTTTTTTTTTTATAAAGAATATCAAATTAGTCACAAAAATATATACAAGAAAACTCATATCCATTGAATTACGGTAATGGCTTCTTTTTTCTTTTACTGGTCCTTGCAACCAGGTGATGCGCACAAACTATTTGCTAATATTCTCCAATGAAATTAAAGATGAATGTGTTGCTGAACTCTGCCTTGAAACGCTTAACGCTTCAAAGACTGAATACCCAGCATTCCAAACTACTTTCAACCTCTCTCTGCTCTACATTGCAGCCTATATCTCCACCGCCTCAGCTGGGAGAGCTCTGCAGCAATATAATGTCAAATTTTGGTGGACTGGATGATCTGGAATTGAGTCTAAATAAGTTTAAGGATTCTTTAACTTCATCTCTTGTGGCTCAAACAATAGAGGATTGTAAGCATGAGGCACAAAGTAGAAGACTGCTCAGGTTTTTCTTATGGTCAAGCAAGAATTTGAATTGCAATTTAGAGGACAAGGATTATAACTATGCTCTCAGAGTTTTTGCTGAAAAGAAAGACCACGTAGCGATGGGTATCTTGATTGGGGATCTTAAGAAGGAGGGCCGAGTCATGGATGCTCATACTTTTGGTCTTGTGGCTGAGACCTTGGTTAAACTGGGAAAAGAAGACGAGGCATTGGGTATTTTCAAGAACCTGGACAAGCACAAGTGTCCTCAGGATGAATTCACAGTTACTGCTATCATTAATGCTCTTTGCTCCAAAGGGCATGCTAAGAAGGCTGAAGGTGTAGTTTTGCATCACAAAGACGAGATTGCAGGCGTAATGCCTTGCATTTATAGAAGTCTTCTTCATGGCTGGTCTGTGCAGAGGAATGTGAAGGAAGCTCGTAAAGTTATCCAACAGATGAAGTTAGATGGGGCTATCCCGGATTTGTTCTGTTACAACACATTTCTCAGGTGCCTTTGTGAGCGCAACCTGAGGCATAATCCTTCAGGACTTGTACCTGAAGCTTTAAATGTGATGATGGAGATGAGATCTTATAAGATTGCCTTGACCTCAATTAGTTACAACATATTGCTTTCTTGTTTGGGGAGGGCAAGAAGAGTAAAGGAATCCTGTCGAATTCTTGAAACAATGAAAACTTCTGGTTGTGCTCCAGATTGGGTAAGCTATTATCTTGTGGCTAAGGTGTTGTTTCTGAGTCGGAGATTTGGCAAGGGAAGAGCAATAGTGGACCAGATGATCAGCGAAGGTTTAGTACCAAACTGCAAGTTCTATTACAGTTTGATTGGCATTCTGTGCGGAGTTGAGAGGGTTAATTATGCTCTTGAATTGTTTGAAACAATGAAGAGAAGCTCACTGGGTGGTTATGGACCTGTTTATGATGCGCTCATTCCAAAGCTTTGTAGAGGAGGACGATTTGAGAAAGGAAGAGAGCTTTGGGACGAGGCTGTACGCACAGGCATGTCTCTACAGTGCTCAGAGGATGTTTTGGATCCTTCGGTAACACAAGTTTTCAAACCCACAAGGCCAGAAAAAACCAGCCGCTTGGACAACTCGAAAACCAAGCGTCCAAAGAAATCTACGGCTACAAAACGTTTCGAAAAACTAAGAAATATAAAGGGGAAGACTGGGAAATCTTATTTCTACTTGGTACGAAGTCCTAGTTACACTTAGTATTATGTATGTTTCATCACGCAACCATATAGATAAAATGAATTGTAATCCAGCCAAGGCAATTTTTAATGCGACAAAATAATCAGTAATATTTTTTCATTTGTCTAGAGTCATCCTTGCCTTACCTTATCCCAAAAATTATGTTTCATTAATATGATAACTCCGTTCCATTTTTTGGTCTATTTTCTTACCTTTGAAGTGCTAGAACAAACATAATTAGTTTAAAATCAAAATAAAAAATAGCATAATTTAGTTAAATAATAATAACACTAGCAGAATAACACAATTCAAACCCGTGCTTGATGTCAAATAAATAACTACTTCATCTATAAATGGATTTTCTCCCATTACGTTACATGCAGCGCATAAACTGATGAACCAAACGTAAGGAAGAACCCAGACGAGTGATGAAGTGATCAGGAGACAGAGCTAATTAATAATTGATCGCTGATCTGATCAGGATAATTAAATGAGATCCTTCCTATAAAAATCACAAAAAAGAGCCCAACAGTGAAAAGTGATGTCCACGTCTTTCCCTGCTTCCTGTGACGCTTCTCCTAACGATTTTCCTCTCAAAAAACCGGACTTTGTTTCCTTCTACAGCTTGTCCCCCTCCGCCACCATGTCTGAACTCATCCACTTCCCTCATTCCCTCCACACCTAGGGTTTACATTTTTGTGTTCTTTCATTCATTTTCTTCCTGCCCAGACAGACTCCTTCTATCCCTATCCTCCTCTTCGATTTTCCAAATATTATGCTTTTCCAAATCATCCTTTTACTCAATCCTTGAAATTTCACGAACCCCAGGATCTTCTCTCCTGTCTGTCCTTAGTTTTCCCGCCCGGACATTGAGGGATTCGGAGAGAACAGAAGATTACGATGGGGCAAGAGGGTCTTTCCGCTCAGAAGAGAACTCACTCAGCTGGGTTGCCCACTACTACTGCTGTTCCTAATGGCAGAGGCCGTGCTCTCGCCGGCTTGCCTCGTGGCCGTCAGATCCACAAGACCTTCAACAACATCAAGATCACTATCCTTTGTGGCTTCGTCACCATTCTGGTCCTTCGCGGTACCATTGGGGTTAATTTTGGAAGCTCCGACGTCGATGCCGTCAACCAGAACCTCATTGAAGAGACCAATCGGATTCTTGCAGAGATCAGATCCGACAGTGACCCCTCCGATCCGGATGAGCCTGTCGAGACCGAATTGAATCCGAATATCACCTTCACTCTCGGGCCGAAGATCGCCGATTGGGACCAGGAACGGAGGGCTTGGCTGGATCAGAATCCTGAGTTCCCAAATTACGTCAAAGGTAAAGCTCGAATCCTGCTCCTAACTGGCTCACCTCCGAAACCTTGCGATAACCCATTTGGGGACCATTACTTATTGAAGTCGATAAAGAATAAGATTGATTACTGTAGATTACATGGGATTGAGATTGTGTACAATTTGGCTCATCTGGATAAGGAACTTGCTGGGTATTGGGCAAAACTGCCAATGATTCGTCGGTTGATGTTGTCACATCCTGAGGTAGAGTGGATTTGGTGGATGGATAGTGATGCGTTCTTTACTGATATGGTCTTTGAGCTTCCCTTATCGAAGTATGATAAGTATAACTTGGTTCTTCATGGGTACCCTGATCTGTTATTCGACCAGAAGTCATGGATTGCTGTGAATACTGGAAGCTTTCTTTTTAGGAATTGCCAGTGGTCTTTGGATTTGCTTGATGCGTGGGCTCCAATGGGTCCAAAGGGTCCCATTAGAGAAGAGGCAGGGAAGATTTTGACTGCAAATCTGAAAGGGAGGCCAGCATTTGAGGCAGATGATCAATCAGCATTGATATATCTCTTGTTGTCAAGGAAGGAGGAATGGATGGATAAGGTTTTTCTTGAGAATTCATATTATTTGCATGGCTACTGGGCTGGATTGGTGGATCGCTATGAAGAGATGGTCGAGAAGTATCATCCAGGATTAGGTGATGAGAGATGGCCATTTGTGACCCATTTTGTGGGCTGCAAGCCATGTGGTAGCTATGGAGATTATCCCGTTGAGAGGTGCCTCCGTAGCATGGAGAGGGCTTACAATTTTGCAGATAATCAGGTGCTCAAGCTTTATGGATTTAGGCATCGCGGTCTTTTGAGCCCTAAGATCAAAAGAATCAGAAGTGAGACCGCTACTCCTTTGGAGTTTGTTGACCAGTTTGATATAAGGAGACGGCCGTCAGTTAGCACTGAGACAAAAAGCTAGTGAGGTGCCAAACATGTTCTCGAGTGATACTTTAGGCAATCATTATAGGTGGAATTTTATCTGATTTGATGATATCTTCACGTGTAAGTTTTGTTTGTTATGTTTTCTTGGTTCTTTTCTAAAAACTTTCTGATAGAATTCTTTCATACGTTGAGACGTCTTCTTTTTGTCATGTTTGAGTAATTAGTCGCCAAGTTATTTTTTTTTGCTGTATACTAACCTTCTTCTGTATGTTCTCTTCCGGGAGGCATGAATTCATGAACTTGTAACTTATATTTCTTGAGTTTTGTTGTAACATGGTATAATATTAGTTCTTTCTTCTTTTTTGTTTGACAAGCATGCCTTCATTGTAATTTTCCATAGAAAAGGAAATGAACAATTTGCCATGAAGTCAGTATGAAGTAATAACCTCAAATTAATATTTACAAGTCCTTTTGATATTTGAATTACCTGCATAGGACTAGAAAGAAGCAGCTAGTTCTTGAAATATCTTGATCAATTCAAATTTGTGTCATGAGTTCCCGAATTGTGATTGTGGAACTAGCCTTTTATTTTATGAATACAATTTGAAAATTCAATTTAAAAACGAGGAATTGATCAAGATCTACACTGATTTAGCCTCTAATCTGTATGATTGAATTGTACCACTTTCAAGCTCTTCCTTCACCAGTCTAACAACAGTTCTATTTCGCATAATTTCATAATTTCAACCATCCTACTTGATGAAATTTAAAAAATGTGGACACACGTCCTGATGCTTCATAATATATGTAATTTTTTATTGGTGACCTTCTGAATTATCATGTCTCGCTAAATACGGTGGTGTCATTGCTGTTGTGGTTCTTTTCGCGCAACTTCTCACGATCACACTTGGTCCAAAAAGAAAAGAAAAGAAAAGGGCAGTATTGGTTAGGGGTGAGCATCGATCGGTTCGGTTCGGTCTCAAAATATGCAGAATCGATCGATCGAATAACACTAAAAATGAAAACCGAATTGAACCGAACAAACCAATCGAACCGAATAAGGACCGAACCAAAATTTGATAATTCGGTTCGGTCGGTTAATTCGATTTTTCGATTTGGACCTATTTTTTAAATATTAAAACAAACAACACTACAAAATTGGGCATTTTTTTCTATTCATTTTTTTCAACATGAGCCCATTCTAATTATACCCATATGATATAAAGCCCAAATATTATAAAGGCATGAATAATCAAATAAACAACCATAAATAAACACCGATGATCAAATAATAGCCTCATAATCCAGTCACAATACCTACTGATGAGAGTGACTGATTGAAATGGGGTTTCAAGTGATGTTATTATTTTTTATTCTTTATTAAAATAAAAAATAAAAATAAAAATAAAATAATTTATAAATTAAATATAATTTATAAATTAATAAATTATATGTAATTCGGTCGGTTCGGTCTATTCGATTTTAAATTTTACTAACCGAGTCGAACCGATCAACCGAAATATTTAAAATAAAAAAACCGAATCGAACCGAAAAATCAAATAGACCGAATTAAATAGACAAAATTCGATTCAATTCAGTTCAATTTTCGGTTTCGATTCAGTTTTGCTTACCCCTAACATTGGTGACGTGTCCGAGAATTTTGTTGACATAAACCAGAACAGCGGACTAGATTTAATAACAATAAATAAAAGAAATTTTTTTGACTTTGGCCCTTTTCTTTTCTTTTCGTTTTTTCTTGCAGACAAATGAGCAACCTCAGATCTGAAACAGTGTAAGTGAATGCATATTGATCAAGAGCTACCAGCAGAAGTCGAAGAAAAATAAATTCCATCAAAGCAACTCTCCCTACCTTATGAACTAACATGGACTTTGCTTTTTCTGAGAACATGCATACGGTAGCACTAAAATTGTACATTATATTTACTACTCCTTCTGTTAAAAAATATAAAGTATTTTTAATTGAATTTTATCCTCTCAATAAAGTAATTACTTATCTTTAAACTAATTTTATCTTTTCATATTTATCTTTATTTAATAAAATGTTTTATCCTAAAATAAATATAAGGGATTTATTCAATGGGAATATTTTTTTAAAAAATAATGATTACACCTTAAAAAATTAAAAATATCTTATATTTTTAAATATTCAATCTTTTTAAACATACTTTATATTTTTAAGTAAAAGGAGTATTATATAATCATTTTGTTACCATGCATATTGTCAAGTGTTTGAACTGACGTTGAGAGAGGAGGAAAGGGAAGGAATATATAGAAGCTTTTGTTTGGTGGATTAGTTTCCACAAGGGACTGCCATGAGTGGTAGGATAAATATTGACTACCTTCCTCTGCATTAGGGGTCGAAGGAGCCTACATCCTGACTTATTTTAGGCCTTAAATAGATTAAAGTCAGTTCATACCTTTAATTAAATTTATTTAATTAAATAGGTTAGGTTTAGTTTTTCAAAGCCCACCCTATGAGCTTAACAAGTCAGTCTATTTACACACACATATATTATGTAATATATCACATACATATTAGTTTCATAATTTGATTTTTAATCAATATTTTTTTATTTTTAGTTATGTTTTCAATCAAATTGAACTTATATATTGATTTTAATGATATTATTTTATTATTATATTGTATTATAATTGGTAAGTTTTTTTAATTATTATATATTTCAACTGATAAATCAGGTTATATATTTATACTAATGTCCTAAAATATATTTGAAATATTTAAAACTAAAATGTAAACTTATTTAAAAGGCTTGCTTTTAAGTAAGCTTTTAAATAGGTTTTCAAGCCAATCCAAGCTTTAGGTATGCTCAAGTTTGAATTATAAGAAAAGTCTAATACAAGCTTCAGACAAAGCTTAAACTTTTGACTTACTATACAGGCTCAGGTTTATTTAACCACAATCTAGCTTGGCCTTACATGTTTTCACCCCTACATGCTTGCACGAATGACTACAATGCAGGTTAGTGAATTTAGATAATTAGGGCATAAAACTATAGACTCTTACATGATTTCTTAACCTATTCATTTAACTTCAGAAACCAAACATAATGAGACCCGCCAAAACCCTAATTACTTATTACATAGAGAATACAATTGTAGTCAGCCAAATATCCTATAATCTAAGTAGATGATATTAGTAGAAACTACAAACTATGGTGTTATTACAAATTTTAGGATGCGAGTGCGTGAAACCAATTAGTTCAACAAAAAGTAAAGGAAAAATTGATCTTTTAATCCTTCAAATTTTAATTCACTTGTAACTCAATCCCTCAACTATGACTCGTCTATGACTTAGTTCCTCAACTTTTAAATCACTTAAAAATTAGTCCCTAAACTTTTGTTAATTTTGTCACGCCCCAAAAACAGAGGGTAACCGGCACGGGATGTGAATCATATAACACATCTCCGCAAGCCTCTAACTTTAAACTCATTTCATTTCTAAAAATGTAATCAAATTTATATTGAAATTTTAACATTTTTTTATATTGGTCATCAAAATAAATTTAAAAAAAAATTTGTAAAAATATCGACAAAACCTTGCTTGTAAATAAGATCATCCAAAACTCTACAATACAAAAATATTCACAAGATACCATGTCACTTAGCTCTTCCAATGAACAAACAATATATATACCAAAATAGAAGCCCTGGATGTAGCATATGTGGAGCACCTAACCAGACCCCTCCAAAATAAAATACATAAGCATTGATAGTTACATAAAAAGGGAAATTTTTGATCAGTTCTTTACCCAGCACATCTATGAATTCTCATGGATCAACAGGGGATCGGCATCAATTAGGATATCTGAGACCAAAAATAATTTTCCAGTGAATAACGTCCCAACAATAAATAATTGAACATAAAAAATTTAAATGATTATGTAAGATAAAGAGACAATGATCTTTATAAAAATTTAATAAACTTCGAAATAAAACGATTCTATAAAATTTTAAATAAAATCTTAAACCATTAAAATCTCATAATAAATAATATTATCATTTGATTGCAAGGAAACAAATAACAAAATCAATAATTATAAATAATTTACTATTTAAAACTAATGGGATGTAAAGTTACCAAATAATCAAATTCATGTAATAGGGACTTATCAGAACAATGAACAAACGTGGACACACAATCCATGAGGGCAAATAACCAAACGCGGCTCTTGCCACGAAAACAAACGTGGACACATAGTCTATGAGGGTATATAACCAAACGCAGCCGAAGCCACGAATCAAACGTGGACACACAATCCACGAGGGTAAATAACCAAACGCGGCTCTTGCCACGAAAACAAACGTGAGTACGATGCTCACGAATAACCATCCCTCCGTTCCACGTGCGTTGGCCATCGCACGGGGCTAGCACCTCCTATACACACCCTGCTAGCTAGGTGTACCATGGCGCGCCAAGGGCTAACGGAACTGCCGTTAGCAACCAGTGTTCTATATAAAGTCTCTTTTTAAAACCATTTTCAAACATGTGAGAAAATCATCACTTTCAAGATACAGTTCTCATTCTCAAAATCAAACTCGCATGAATACTTTTAAGCATTAAAACTTGCCAGAATAAAATTTCATATCCAATGCTCATGCTTGCATTTATTGAATAATATAAAAAAAATTTCAAAGTCAAACTCGCATGAATCGTTTTTCATAGCAATTCGATAATTTTCAAAATGAAAGTCCCATAATTAAAATCCGAACTTGTATTTACTGATAACCTAAAATTATCAAATCTGGTAGAGATAACTTCACAAAAATAAAGTACTTTAATTAACAAAATATCCAATAATTATATTGTTGCTGTAAAAAGAATTTATAAAAAAAATGTAATATTTCAGCAAAAGAAATATTATTGAAATATCAGTTGGGACGCTATCCACTTACCTGATAAACGCCCAGAATAATAGTTTATGCCTCATAAACCTCTCAATTGTCCTTTAACTACTTTATTACCTAGACAAGAATAACAATAAATTTCTTTAACAATAACTCAAATAATACCAACACATGTCCTTTAACTACTTTATTACCTAGACAAGAATAACAATAAATTTCTTTAACAATAACTCAAATAAGTAAAACTACATCAATTATTCAACAACCTGATGTCTTGCCTAATGCATGATAAAGTTTGACTTATCCTTAAGCCACCGGTCATTTAAAATCTACATCCTTATTATTATTATATTTTTTTTTCAATTCATTAAATACTTTACATGCTCATTTCTCTGTCCAGTCATACAGCTCTCAAGAATTCAATTAATAACATATTATCTTTATAATTGACAAAATCTCTTGTGACACTCAAATTAAACTCACAAGTAATTAGCGTCCGAGCCAACTATGCTTCATGAGGATTATTAACATTTAAGGAAAAGATCATGAACAATCAACACTTCCCGTAACAAACTTTTATCCAATACCTCATAGACACCAATATTCAAATTTTAACACTAAGCTCTTCCTTTATATCCAATCCCACAATTCCTTCAACATTTATACAGCATCAATACATAACTTATTCAAGCATCCCAAGTTCATTCCTTCCACAAGAGTACTATGATTTAAATACAATTCAAGCCCACGCTACTTTCTCTTCTTCCATGAACAAAATTCTAGCTTGCTTAACCGCACTGTGATTGCCTTCAATTAAATACACACAGCACATTGAACAGAAAATAAATATAAATTCGCACTAATCATTCTCTCACACACACATAGAATCAGCCAGGAGGAACAAATTACAACATCGCCCATTAAAACACACGCACACAGGGGATTCAATGAAGGGAAAAATTCTAAGCTGCTACCAGGATTCAACCTCGACAGAAAAGGTATTAAAAAAAAAGAAGAAATTAGTAGAAACAACGGAGGTGGAAAATCATGAACCAACAATAGTGCCCACAGCACACCGAACCAGTGAGAACAGCGATAATACAGGGAAGGAGAAAAATTTCGACAACCATGCTCAAAAGTAGAGATTCACGGCAAGCATAGATCAAGGAAAGAAAAAGATGAAATTCAACACAGAACAAGGGAGGGAAAAACTCACGATTCGCACCACAACGTTGTGGTTTCGGGCGGACATCACAGCAACGGTGAGCGGAACTTCTATTCTCGTTAACAGCATGTTGAATAGCAAAGGATAGAAGTGGCTGGATCGAGGATTTAAAGCTCTGAGCAACAAATTTTCTCTTGCTCTTAGACGGAAGATCAGCTCAAATAACACCCATAGCAGAGAAATGAACACAAGGGGAGGAGCGAAGAACAGAAGGGAAAAAGAATATTTTCCGGCGACCCGCACCACCGGTGACGAGCTGGACGGTGGAGAGAAGAGTTCAAATGGTCGAAATTTCCAGATGCAGAGGGCTGAAGCTCTCTCTCTCTCTCTCTCTCGTCTCTCTCTCGCGTCTGTCCCCTCATCGACAAAGAAGGAAGAAACAAATATAACATGTAAAAGTTGGTGGGAAAATTACAATGAAGACCCCTCAGATTTTTTTTATTAATATTATATTCTATAATAAAAGGCAAAGGCATTTTAACTCTTTCTCCCAATAAAAGAAAATAAATTAACATTTAATTTAAATAAGATTCAAACTTTAAATCTCTATATAAGTAGCCAGTATCAATTTCGCTAAACTATTATTCCTCACTTGTCCTAAAATTAAGATAAATAAATTAAATATCAATTAGGAACAAATTTATTTAATTTTAAATTTTGGATCATTATAAATTTTTTTTCATGTTAGCTTATATCTCACATCAATGAGCAAGAGGAGGGCATTTTAGAATAATATATGAGCATTTTTTATCCCTCTTATTTGATAAGAAATTTTAAAAAAAATTAAAAATAAGGATCGAATTATAGGTGAATCAAAAGTTAAGAGACTGAGTCGCAGCGAGTTATAGTTAAAGAATTGAGTTACAGCGAGTCATAGTTAAAGGACTGAGTTATAAGTGAATTAAAAGTTGAAAAATTAAAAGAATAATTTTCTCAAAAGTAAAAATGATCATTGAATATTCTAAAAAAATTATAGCATAAATGATAAAAAAAAACTATAAGACTGAATCAAATGTCCATAACAAATTATAAATAAAATCTCAGCAGTCTTATTTTTCTGTCAAACTTTAAGATAAAGGATGACCCCAGCAGTTGCAATGGCAAAAGTAGAAAAAGAGGAGGGGGGACGCAATGAAGCTTGTGTCTTCCTATAAGGGTCTTAACTTGTCGATTCTCACCATTTCTGTTTCTTCCGATGTCTTCACTCCATCTGTTCTACAAACTTGAATATCAGCTCAAGGAACTTTCCAAAAAGCTCTTTCAAGCAGGAGACCATTAAAGCAACTAAGGTAGATAAAATCAACGAGGCATGAAAAAGTGACACAAAGGAGTGCAAATTGGCGTGGACAGGTATGTGAAGGGCTTGCCACAATGCATATCTTCTAATCAATGTTATTCTATATCTGTGAGAATTTTACTATAGCTGGAAGAATATGTGCTACACAATCTTGAGGCTCCAACGATTTCCCAAGAGCTACACAACCCTCAACAGAAAGTAGCCGAACTTAATCTTGATCTACGAGAAATCACGCAGCATATTGCGGTTCATCAATATTTTGGTGCGTCCCAGTCATAATTTTCTTAATCTGGGTGAATATTCCACTTGACATTGTTGTAAGACTTTTTCTTCCAAATTCAAACCAGATCTAATTGTCAATGTATGCATTAAATCACAATTTGCACAAATTTTATCGCAAACGGACATACAGAAAACAAATTGACACCATAGGTTGTCATTCATTGTGGGAATAGCAGCTCTTACTCTGGGTTCCTCCCGATGTTGGAGATTATGATGAATGAATGGTTAATGCACTGCCATTATAATTTCAACATGGTATAATACTATCAAAAGGGGGGGGGGGGGGGAACTCCTCACATAAGTCCTGAATACAACACTAACATCATTAGAGATAAAATCAAGATGCACTTCGAAGCCTATAATTAGTGGCGATTTAAGAACTATAAGCCCCAAAAAAGGGGAAGTTAGATTCCAAAGCATAGAAATCATAGTTGAGTGTCTTAAGTGAATGAGGTGCAATATACAAGCAGGTATGCTTTATATCTATCACTAAGACAAGAAGCTCCCCTATAGTTAGAGAAAGCAGAAAGGGGTTTTCAGACGAAACCCTGATACAGTGGTTTTTAGGTTCTCATGTCCTATTTTAATAGAAATGTGGTACCATCTTTCATAAAGACATATAACTTCTACAATGCGACTTTAGTATATTATTGCAAAGGATTGTCTGTAATATAGCTTAACTTCCAATAATAATCCTTACTGCAGAATTTGTTCGTGACTTTGAGAAGTGTGCTAGGTAGGTAGAGTTCAAATTAAAATTATCTAGCTCCCTTCTCAAAGTCACCAACTAATTTAACTAAGAACTGAGACACAGCAAGAAGCATTCATTGGTATATGTTTACCATCTGCTTATGATTTCCACAGTTTCCATTTTTTTTTTTTAAATCCACTTAACAAAATATATAAAAAGAGTAATTACAAATGAACACATGGCACGAGGATGTTACGTTTAACCAATGTTTCATTCTCAGTTTGCCAAGTTTCAAAGAGAGGCGCACTGGTCAAATTATCAAGTATGGATGCCCAAGGAAAATGTTTCAGGGTAAGATTTCATACTCAAAAGGCAAAACCGCTCTCATTCCCCAACTTCTTTCATAAACATACCAACATTGAAAAAGTGATTCTCATATAACAGCTCCAGGCTTGGTGATTTATTTTAACCACAAGGCTCTACCATTTAGTCATATTTATGTTGGAACCAAACCATTTCATTGATCTATAATGCACAAACCAAGCATTGTATCTTTCTTGCTCCACGGAAATGTTCCATCGAAGAGCAAAGAATAATCATTCAGGTATGCATAGAATATTTTGAAGTCATACTCATTATTGAGAATGCAAACATTGAATAACTTTATATCTTGACCACAAATAAGAGACAGGAAGTTGTGTGTGTATCTGTGAAAGGCATTCCAACTAAGCAAATGAAGAGCTTCTTCTTTGTTTAATTCCTTGACATCAGAAATTCTTTCAACCACATGACTAAAACCAACTAAAAAAATTGAAAGGATAATCATTCAGATATGCAAAACCCCAAACATTTGTTGAGGTATAATATGGTAATAACAGATCATATTTGTTAAATTATAATTTGATTTCACAATAAATGAAATTCTTATCATTTTGATAAATTTATTATTATTTTTAAAAGAGAGGATCCAACGAAAGAAGATTCTTTTAATTCTTGATGATATTGACAACTTGGAGCAATTGCAAGCACCGGCTAGAAGATGTGATTGGTTTGGTTTCTGGAAGTAGAATTGTTATTACAATAAGGAATAAACAGTTGTTAAAAAGTCATGTGGTTGAAAGAATTTATAATGTCATGGAATTAAACAAAGAAGTAGCTCTTCATTTGCTTAGTTGGAATGCCTTTCATAAGGAGTACAGCATTGATTTCAATTACATGGAGGTTTCCAGTCGTGTGATTCATTATTCATGTGACCTTCCATTAGCTTTGAAAGTGATTGGTTCCAACTTATGTGGTAAAAGAGTAGATGAGTGGCATTCTATATAAGAAAGATATGAGAGAATACGAAGTAGAATTTTCAAAGTCCTCAAATTAAGCTATGATGCTTTATATAATGATGATGGCAAGGAACTTTTTCTTGACTAGGCTTATATTTCTTATGGTGAGAAATTAAATGTCATAAATATGTTGCTGAACTTTCGTGGAGTCCAACCATAATATGGAGCATTGATTGATAGATATCTCATAAAGATTAAAGAAGATTGGGTAGCAACGCATGATTTGATAGAAAATATGTGAAAAGAAATTATTGTTAGACAACAAAATCGCCAAAAGAGCCTGGTAAAGGTAAGACCACTATACAAATGACTCTTATTTATTTGTTGATCTTTTTTTTAATATATAAATACCTGCCTTAAATACAACAACAACAACAACAATAACAAGCCTTTATCCCACTAGGTGGGGTCGGCTACATGAATTGCAAGACGCCATTGTGCTCTATCATTTATCAAGCTTTTAGGAATATTATTAATTAAGAGATCGCGTTCAATAACTTCTAAGAGTGTTCTCTTAGGCCTTCCTCTACCTCTCTTAATCGGACTCAAAGTTATATGTTTCACTCTTCTCACTGGTGCCTCCCTTGGTCTTCTTTGTACATGCCCAAACCATCTCAACCGATTTTCTACCATTTTTTCCTCAATAGGTGCCACCCTCACTTTTTCACATACGTGCTCATTTTGAATTTTATCTTTACGTGTATGTTCGCACATCCATCGTAACATTCTCATCTCTGCTACTCCAACTTTATACTCTTACTGTCCCATTAGAGCCCAGCATTCACTACTATATAACATTGCCGATCTAATAGCAGTGCGATAAAACTTTCCTTTAAGTTTATTAGGCACCTTACGATCGCAAATAACTCCTTTAGCTTTTCTCCAATTAAACCACCCAACTTGAATTTTATGTGAAATATCTCCACTGATTTCGCCATCATTTTGAATAATGGCTCCCAAATATCTAAACTTTTCCACTTGAGGTATAATTTGGTCTTCTAATTTTACTTCCAAATTATTGTCGAATAGTCCTTTACCAAATTTACAATATGAATATTTCATCTTACTTCTATTCAGACGAAAACCTTTCGACTCCAATGTCCTCCTCCATAACTCAAGTTTGCAATTAACCTTTTCTCTTGTCTCTGCTATAAGAACTATATCATCCGCGAAGAGCATACATTTCAGAATTTTTTTTCGAATATGTTCCGTCAAAACATTTAAGATCAAGTGAAACAAATAAGGACTCAGAGATTATCCCTGATGTAGTCCAATCTTTATAGAAAAATCCTTTGTTTGACCACTAGGCGTTCTTATACTAGTTTTTACCACCTCATACATATCTTGTATGGCTTTAATATAAGCAATCCGTACTCCCTTTTTTTCTAACGCTTTCCAAAGCACTTCTCTTGGTATATGGTCATAAGTTTTTTTCAAATCAATAAAAACCATGTCTAGATCTTTATCTTTACAACGATACTTTTCTATTAATCCTCTTAGTAGATAAATCGTCTCTGTAGTTGATCTACTTGGCATAAAACCAAACTGATTCTCAGAAATACTTTCTCCAATCTCAACCTGTGCTCAATTACTTTCTCCCACAATTTCATTGTGTGGCTCATGAGTTTAATCCCTCTATAGTTAGTATAATTTTAAATATCTCATTTATTTTTATAAATAGGAATTAATGTACTTCTCCTCCACTCATCAGGCATTTTCTTGGACCGTAAAATCACATTAAATAAC